GTGTGTGTGTGTGTGTGTGTGTGTGTGTGTGTGTGTGTGTGTGTGTGTACGTCAAAGAGTCAGCCATTGAGTTCATGTCAGAAACAGTCCCTGTTCCCCTTACTAGGATACCCACTTGGATACTGAGCTGCCATGGGCTACATCTGAGCAGTGGTTCTAGGTTATCTCCACGCATAGTCCTTGGTTGAGAAAACAGTCTCAGAAAAGACCCCTGTGCCCAGATGTATTTGGTGCTTGTGGCGTTCCTGTCCTCTCCAGGTCTTACTCTCTCTTCCTTCATATGATTACCTGCACTCTGCCCAAGGTTTGGTTATGAGTCTCAGTATCTGCTTTGATACACTGCTAGGTAGAGTCTTTCAGAGGCCCTCTGTGGTAGGCTCCTGTCCTGTTACTTGTTTTCTCCTACTTCCAATGTCCATCCCATTTTTCTTTCTAAGTGAGGATTGATCCTCTTACCCCAGGTCCTCTTTCTTGTTTATCTTCTTTAAGTGTACAGATTTTAGTAAAATTTAATTTTAAAGGAATAAATATATATGCATACTCAGTCTTTTAAAGCACTAAACATGTGTCTGTATCTGGGCAGCCAAGTGTCCTTTCAAATTCTTATGTAAAAATTCCCGTGTTCACCTCATGATAAATAATTCTTGCTGGCTCACATCCAAAAAATAATTACACCATATTACTTCACTGTAGATACTAACAAGACTAAAAAGTTTCCATATTGACTTTCCAAAATAGACTTAATTCCTTCACTGTGATGTTTTTCTTAATAGGATGTCTCAATTCTGATCTCAAGAAATGGAAATTCACATTAGGAACTCATTGGGTGGCAAAACAAGTAACGTAAACAGAAAAAAAATTATTCAAAGAGAAAGCAAAATTAAAAATTAAAAACACCCACAGTAACACTATTCAACAGAAATCAATATAAACATGTATAATTGAAGTATTTTAGTAGCCACATTTTAAAATAGAGAAAAATAAATGCTAAAATATATTTCATGATACATTTTATTCAAGTCAGATAAAACTCCAGCACAGAGGAAGAGGAATAGACATAAAGCCACATCCCAATCACAGAAGCTATTTGCAATTTATAGTTGCTAAGAAAAGGAAATTTTCTCTTCTTCAATAAAGTGAAACTGGTTGTATCAACCACATTCTAGGGCAGGTCCCATATACCCTAGTGCCAACACAAATTGGAATCCATGGCAGGTTTTTTGTTGTTGTTATTTTTTGTTTGTTTCTTTTAAGAGAGAAAAAGAACATAAAGTTGGATGGGTAGGGACCTAGGGGAAGAGCTTGGTGGAATTGGGGGAGGGAAAAGAATATTATCAAATTATATTATATGAAATTTTCAAAAAATAAACTACTTTTTAAAAGAAAATAAAATATGAGAGAAAATGAATGAAACAGGGATAGTGTGGGCTCAGCTAGACTTAGCACCATACATTCTTTTTTAAATTTTTTATTTTTAATGTTATTTACAGTTTATTAACTGTGTATCCTAGCTGTATCCCACTCCCTCATTCCCTCCCAATCCCACCCTTCCTCCCTCATCTCCTCCCTGCCCCTTTTCCAAGTCCACTGATAGCACAATAGATTCTGATTGAGTAGAGGTGACAGAAATTTCCTCTGACCTTCCTAGATAATATACAAGACCAAGCAGGAAGCCCATTTTTATAAGAGATGTGCTGTCTATAAAATGAGATTCTAGCTATAATGGGATGTATTTTCAATGTGGTTACCAAAGGGGAAAATTCCAGCCATGTTCCTCATTGCTGTGTAGAAGCAAAATAATTAACTTAAAATTTAGCAAGAATTTTTATGCTGACCATGTGAAAATTAGGAATTACTATGAACAGGAAATGTAACTGTCCATGAGAGCAAAGGGGACTAGCAAGAGGGGGAAGAATCTCAAGGGGTGGGGAAAGGGATATGCTCAAAATAACTAATAAACTTATATGAAAGTGCCCTTGTGAGACCCAGAGCCATGGACAATGACTGTGTGTCAATTAAAATTCTTTATTACAAAAAACCCTCAATGTTAAAAATATTCCCAGGGCTTAGTAAATAGCTCATCAGTACAAGCATGGGGACCTGATCTCTTTTCCCCAGAACCCATGTAAACTTCAGAAGCAGTGACACATGCCTATTATATTCCTGTAGTGCTGAGAGGTGGGGGCAGTTAGATCCTGGAGTTTTTCTGGCCAGTCATTCTCATCTAGCTGACAAGCTCTGTCTGAGTACAGGCAGGAGACTCTGTTTCAAATAATAAGCTACAGAGTGTGCTGTGTCACACTATTCCTGAGAAGATGTTTGCTCACCCCAATGAACGTTTGGTCACTCCAAATAGGGATGACATGAGAGAACAAAGTAGGGATACATCAAAGTCTACCTTAGTGAACCAAGGAGTTTTACTGGGGTTACTTATAGGAGTATGAGTGAGGGGTAACTTACAGGGGTAGAAGTGACTCTAAGACAGCTGCATCTCCAAAGCCCACCTTGACAGACATGACAGCCCTCAAAAGCTAGAGACCTAGAACACACTGCCCAGCATGCAGGCAGCTCCACAAATTGCAGAGTATCCTTTCAATGGGCTCAATTAATCTGAGCCTGTTCAGACAGCTTGGCTGGTTTTGTTGCTTCTAGACAATTTGGCTGGTTTTTGCTTCTTCCAGGTGGCTCAGCAGGTCTGGGTCTTTTCCAGATATCACAGTTTGTCTGAGAGTGTCTCTCAGCAGCCTTTACTGCTTATACGCATTTGAGGAAAAAGGAGCCTGTTATATCTGGTTAGCTTCAGGGATTTCCCGAAACCTTTATTCCTTAAGTTTAAATAGTTTTCCGGCTGAAAGGAATATTTTTACCTCCCATTAGCACACTCCCATGTCCTCATAAAACTTCCCAAGATGGAGATTAATCTCAAATGAAATTGCTACGGAACAGAGACACAGAAAGACACCCAACTTGGACCTCTGGCACACACACACACACACACACACATACACACACACACACACACACACACACACATACACACACACACACACACAGAGGCATACGCACTCGGACACACATGTGCATGAATCCCATATATAATAGAACATATACAAAAATTTTAAATGATTTATTTAAAACATCAATGTAAAATCATTAATGCATTAGTAAAATAATATAAAATTTTCATATCAAGTATATAAAATTTGGGATTACTATACTATTAGAACACATATCAATTCAGACTAGCCATGCTTTTTGTATTATTCAGTATCCATGTGTCTAATATTCATCTATACCAAAACTATATCATAGTTTATGTGAGCCTGTGTCAGAATTACCTATAAGACTAGTTATAGCACAGAATTCCACAAGCCTGAAGATTCTGATTGATAGTTCTAAGTGAAACCTGAGAATTTGCATTTTTAACAAATGTCTGGATACTGCTGCTGCTGAAGAGCTAGCAAGTGCGCTTTGAGAACCACGACCTTAATTCTTTCAAAATTCAAACTTGTCACCATTTTCCCACTATGTGAACATCAAATAAAAAAATAGACACTAGGTACTGTGGTGATTGATATTGTTAGTTGTTAATACTATACATTATACATCATTGCAAATTGTCAGTATCCTGTTTGTTGCTTAAAATTGAGCGATTATTGATATGAGTATCAGTAGTTAGATCTCAGTGACTATTGCTAAGTGATACTTAATAGAGGGTTAATTAAGAAGAAACATGTCTTGGCTTCTTTGCTCTTAACATTTGCAGAGCTATCTCTAATCTCAGGATTATGCTAAATACATTATCAGAAAGTAACCTTTTAAAACAGCAAACTAGCATTCAAGATTGTTTTTTGTTTTTGTTTTTTGAGACAGGATTACTCTGCATAGCCTTAGCTGTCCTGGACTCGCCTTGTAGACCAGACTGGCCTCAAACTCACAGATATCTGCCTGATTTTGCCTCCCTGTGTGCTGAGATTATAGGTGTGCACTACCATGCCCAGCAACATACAGGAAAATTTTAATTGACTCAATACCTATTCAAAGCATTAATGTCAACTAATTTGATATTTAATGTAGTCATGGATTTTAAAACAATTTAAGAATATTAAATGAATAGTTAACTAATTGCAAGCTCAGTGAAAAATAAAGATAATATCCTTTCTATCATGACATTAATTTATCTCTGAATGTGCCCCGGTCTTTGATTAGTAAATTATTGTGAAAGATACAGTTCCTTCTGATTTCTACATATTTAAGTATTTCATTTCTGTTTTATTGTTTCTGAAGAAAAATAATTAAAAGTTAATACCTTCTCTTTAAACATTTTTTTTCTAAGAACACAAAAACAGCTTCTGAGCCTCCTTTGGCTCCTCCTGTATCCGAAGAAGAAGATGAAGAAGAGGAAGAGGAAGAAGATGACAATGAGCCCCCGCCTGTCATTGCACCAAGACCGGAGCATACAAAATCAGTAAGTCAGAAAGATAACTATGGTTTATTTTCTCTCATTTATGATTTCCTGATTTTATATAGATAAATAAAATCATAGATACACACATACACGATGTCCTGAAAGTAAAAGTGAAACTATTTCTGGCAGTGGTTCTCAACCCATGGGTCACGTAGCAGATATCTTGCATATCCCATATTAACGCTATGAGTCATAACAGTAGCAAAATTACAGTTCTAAAGCAGTAAAGCAATTTTATGGTTGGGGGTCTCTACAATATGTGGAACTATATTAAAGTGTCACAGCATTAGAAAAGTGGAGAACTGCTGATCTAAGTGAACAAACTACAATAATGGGAAGGAGGAAAATTGCAAAATGGAAGGGTAGTTGTGGGAGTATGAGGACATATGCTCCAAATAAAATGTACACTTGTGTGAAAATTCCCTTATGTAACATGTACCCTCGACAATGAATATATGCAATGAGGTTTTTTTTTCTTTTTTTTTTAATTTTTATTTTTATTAATTACAGTTTATTCACTTGGTATCCCCCTCTGTAGCTCCCTACCTCATCCCCTCCCAATCCCTCTCTCCATCTTCTCCTCCCATACCCCTCCCCCAGTCCACTGATGATGAGGTCTTCTGACCCTAGCCTATCAGGTCTCATCAGGACTGGCTGCATTGTCTTCCTCTGTGGCCTGGTAAAGCTGCTCCCCCCTCAGGGGGAGGTGGGCTTTTCATCCATTGTTTAAGAGGCAGAGGGGATAGGATCCAAAGTTCAGAGCAGTCTAAATAGTAAGACTCTGGCTCCAAGCAAAAGAAACCAAAGAAGACAACATTTTATGGCTAGGGATATGTGGAGTTGCTGAAGTACCTCTTGTTCCACACTTCAGCCCAAATACTGTGTGTTGAAAATCCCATTGTTACAGTAAGGATAGACAAGAGGCTCCCTAGGGCTTGCCTGCAAGCCAGCCTAGCCATCTGCAGGTTAATGGGAGACCTTGTCTCTGAAAATGAAGCCAAGAGCAATTGAATGACGTCAACTGGCATTCACATATGCACAATACACATACACAAACAGGCACAGACATGCACGCCCATACATACCCATGAAGGTTCCATTTAGAACTTTAGAATACTGTTGAGCAAATAATACCTGTTGGGTATTTCCTGTGTTCCCAGAGTTACCACATGTAACTACAGCTCTAAGGGATCGTAAGTACTCTTTTGGCCCTATAGGCACCTGGGTAGACATGGCAGACACATAAACACACATACATACATACACACAAATTAAAAAAAACAAAAACAAATTATTTTAACTGTAATATGAGCCTAAAATTAATCTGAATTTTTGGTTATTTTTTTTACAGTTTCACATATAAGTACCACATTTACATCATTTCCATCCTTCTATCTTGCCTCTCCAACTCCTCTCATGACCTTTCTGGTTCCCTCTCAAATTTATGACCTCTTCTTCTATAATTATTGTTGTTTTATATGTTTATATTACCTAATACAAAAGCAATACTACATGGGCTCAGTTTTGATGTCATGACTTGAAAGTATAAGACTTTATACTTTCTAATAACTTGCTAATAATACCAAACAAACAAACAAACACAAAAAACACAGGCAACTACAAATTCATCAAACTGCAGAAGTGGAGATAAGGAAAGAAACTACTAAGGGAGGAACAGCAAGGTCAGAATGAGCAAATACTTTGAATGCTTTAGCATATGTTATGCTTCTTAATGTTCTTTGACAACAGTGAAGGGACAGTCCCTTCCTGCCACACTCTTCCTTATCTACTGTCTTAATTGTGGAATTTGGGTGGGTATGTTTGTCTTTCAGATCTATACCCGTTCTGTGGTTGAATCTATTGCTTCACCAGCAGCACCAAATAAAGAAGCCGCCCTACCTTCTGCTGAGAATTCCAGTACTTTGTACAGAAATACAGATCGGCAAAGGAAAAAATCTAAGATGACAGATGAGGAGATCCTAGAGAAGCTAAGTGAGTATTTTTCCATCAGAAAGTACTTCTTATACAGTGACTTCAAAGGAAATTGATTCTTTGGATGTCTGAATCTGCTTGTCAAACTCTAGGATCCCTTCAGTTGTGAAATAAAATATTTAGGACTTACTGTGCATATCAATCAGGTTACTCTCTCTCTCATAATCGTAACCTAACAGAAACTAAGCATTTTCACTTAGAACACTCAATATAGATGTACCCTTGACAAAATATATTATAGTAACTTTTAAGATTACACTGCCAAAAGGAATTGAACACTTTAGTATTTTATGACCATACCTGAAGGTTCTCATCTGATATACATTGGTTAAAAAAATCAACCTTAAAGTCCAATGGAGTACCACAGATAAAGTAGCTTTCCCTTATCTGTGGGGAGACAGGTGAAACCAGGCAATGGTAACAGTCACGTCCAAGGTGTCATTGGAGCACACATACTTCTGTAGTGCTCCAGTTTGACAAAATACTCACCACTTAAGAGTATGAAATAAGTTCTCCCCTAAAAAAAATGGCAAGGTTCTATAAATTGTATTTATTAAATTCACACAGAAAGGCTAGATTTAGTAATCAACATCTCCAGTTTAACTGCTACTAGCGCCTTATCCTTTCTATAAGTCTTAGAAGCATGATACAATAAGACAATAATGGGGCTATCCCTTTTTATTCTTTTTTTTTTTTTCAGTTAACAGAGTAGAGCAAAGGAAAAGAAGAAAATCATTTGTTGGCCACACAGAGGCACTGTAGATGTGACAAAGGGACCATTTTGCCACCAAGGGGCTAGCTGAAAATAGTTTTTCAGTTTCCCAATTTAGATAGGTCTACTGTCATCTAGATGATAAGAGGCTAAGAATGTTTGTAAGAATCATAGAATATCCAGGACACTCCCTGTATATCCTTTCCCTTCACAGCAAAGTTGTCATTTGGACTGAATAATTACTTTGTGTCTATCACGTTCAGGACATTTCATATATAACACCATTGTCATTTGAAGTAGAGAGGTTTGGGGAAGCCAGAGTTGAAGTACAGCTCTCAGTAAGCACTCAGAACTGGAATTGCTACAATTTAACAAAGTGACTCTGCTATACTTGATTAAATATGCTTCTAGCATTAGTGTCCACTATTTGCTATAATAATAGCCATAATAATTCCTACATGAGGAGCACTTTGTGAGTGGACACTTTCCATACATTACTGAGGTTAATTTTCTCTATACTCACTTATGGTAGATTTTAATGCCTGCATTTTACAGGACACTGAACGTAAGCTTTAAAAGCTTAAGTGACCGAGTCACCAGAATAATAAGTGGGAAAGCCATAATTTGACCTCATATCTGTGTGCCTTTAGGAGGGGAGGAGAGAGGGGTTTATGGGGGGATACAAAGTGAATAAAGTGTAATTAATAAAAAAAATGTGCATGTTTAAAAAAAAAGCTTTCACTTTTGCCATTAGCCACTTTGGTTTTGTATAACCGAACTCCTTGTGTGTAAAACAGAAGGCAGAGATAAAAGAACCACTAGGAAAACTAAGTTAATGATTCAGATAATCACTAAATTTCTTCCTTTGTTTTTATACACATCACATGAACTATAACAGAGATTACATTAGACTTTTAAAATTTGACAGTCATGCATTAGTAAAAATGACTGTTCTCTGTCATGAACATGGATTTATAGATTTTTGTAAGTAAATTGAGAAATATATGCTACATTTCTGAACCACAGTTTTTCTTACAGACCATGACAGCTATGGCTAGGACCTTTCTGGTTTATTTATTTTGTTCTGTATTGAGGAACAGAAGGCCAAAAGAAAAGAACTGACTTAAGTCTTTTGATGAGAATTAGGTTCAATTACTTAATTAATTAATTTTTGGTTTCTCAAGACAGGGTTTCTCTCTGTAGACTTGGCTGTCCTGGCCTCGCTTTATAGACCAGGCTGGCCTCAAATTCACAGAGATCCAAACTGCCTCTGCTTCCCTGAGTGCTGGGATTATAGGTGAGTGCCACCACGCCTGATTGAATTAAGTTTTAATGAGAAAAAAAAATGTAAAGAAAAAAAAAGAATTTAGCCAATGTTTTTCTCTATTGGTCTTTATACTTCTTTATCCAAGACAATCATTTTCCCTCTTGCAAGCCAAGGAAGTATAAAACTTTCTCTGTAGGATGGATCATAAGATGACAAATGTTGAGTTCAGAAAGTCTTAGATTCAAATCACAGACTTACTGATGATAGCTGAGTATTTAATTTTACTTGTCCTCTATTTCTTCATTCAAAATTTTGGCATAATAATAATACCAGCTTCATACCATGTGACAATGATAACTTCAGCACATATATCTGGCTCATAGTGGGGGAGTCAACAAATGTTCATTGTTTTATTAAGAATACAAACCATTAATGTGATTGCCTGACAGGACAAGCTTTGAAATGATCATAATGAAGTCTGAGTCACATGTACAAATTTTGTATCTCTTTGAAAGTCTCTTACCTCCTCTGAACTTCCAATAATAGTAATAGTCCCAGTATAATGAGAGATTTTTTAAGCTTAATTAAATGTTTTCGAGTAATATATCTCACATAATAATCAGCTTAAGCTTATTGTTTTATTACTGTTGTTTTATCATTACAGAATGGTACTGACCTTCCACTAGGATAGGATGCTTATAACTCAGGACAATCTCATAAGTGAGGTACCTGTACAGAAGTCATTGAGGTCCTTGGAAAGGTGTATACAAATCTCAAGGAAGTAGTAGAGGAGCCTGTGCTGATAGACAAAGGGAAATGGGAAAAAAAGTAGAGAAGTATAGGGATGGCCTGCCATCTACAGGAGAGTGAACCATATAAGAATAAGGAAGAAATGACAGCTTCTTAGTCATCCTCATCTTCAACCTCAAGAATGTGATTGCTAGGAACTGTGCAAGCCAAACCACACAGCTCCTAGGCAATTCATCTTCCATTCCAGGCAATTAATCTTCCATTCTGGTAGGGGCCAGACCAAGGAATCATTAATAGCTGAAATGGATAGATCATCTTTCAGTGTTACACAGACAGATAGCTTGGATCTGGCTGTTCACTGTGGTCTGTCTGGATCTGTTGAAAAATAAATAAACCTTTGTATGCTAGTGAACATTTTCAGACGGCAAGGACAGTCAGAAAAATAGTTCAATATAGGAAATTTCTCTTTAACCTTCCTCCTCTAAACCCCACAACGAGTTTTTCATCTTTGCCCTCCTCTTCCTTAGCATTCTGTACTCCAAATTCTTTTTCCTAATTCACCATCAGAGACAATCAAAGTTAATTTAGAGAATTATTAAGCTCTTCTTCAACAATTAAAAAAAATAGCCAGGTGGTGGGTGGCACACGCCCTTAATTCCAGCACTAGGGAGGCAGAAGCAGGCAGGTGGATCTCTGAACTGGAGGTCAGCCTGGTCTACAAGAGTGAGTTTCAGGATGGTAAGGGGAACACAGAGAAACCTTGTCTTAAGAAACAAAAAAAGGGGAGGAGGTCCTTCTCTATCAGTGGACTTGGAAAGGGGTAGGGAGAAGATGAGGGAGGGAGGGTGGGATTGGGTGGGAATGAGGGAGTGGGATTCAGCTGGGATACAGAGTTAATAATCTGTAACTAATATTAAAAAATAAAAACTTAATTAAAAAAGAAACAAAAGCAAAACAAACAAACCAACAAAAAACCTCCTTTATGCTCAAGGGATAATTTCTTTATGACAGGAACCAGTTTAGCTTAATAAGACAGAGACTATATTGTTGGACCTTTTATTTCTTTTGAAACCACAACATAAATCTCATTTTCAAATACTAGAATTTAGTGATTCTTAAAACTTTATACTTTAAAATGAATGGTTTGTTTCTTAATTGGTAGGAAATGGTTCTGATATTTCTATGATTGCTTTTTCCACTTGATTTTATTGGCTGACCTATTTTTTGCTTTACTGTGTCCCCATACTTTTCTTTGTCGAAATTTATAAAACGAAATTGTAATGGACCTAACGAGAAAGATAACTTGAAAACCTTGTTTTGTGACTGAAATTGTAAAGGAAAGCCTCTTGTATGCATACCTGCAATCAGTAGATGGCAGCACATACTCTCTGGTGAAAGATATAGGGTGTAAGGATGCCATTTTAATTGGAGAGCAGTTAAATTCTGAAGCACAGTCTCATCAAAATGGTTGTCTCCTAGTAATCCATATGAAAGGATTCATTTCCTCATTTTTTTAACACCACATACCATGGAAATAATGGTTGAATAATTTATTGCCCTAAAACCTCATTAACTGAACCCTACCAATTGAAATTGGTTAGAATTCAGAAAGTGGTTTGAGTTAAAGCTTAAAGCATTGTTTTTTGATCAGTCTGTGGAAAAGCATTTGCTCAGCAACTTTATAGTAAAACTTTCTTAGAAAAGGATAAACCATTTAATAACACTCTGGTGTCAAGTAACTTTAAAATAATCATTTCACCAAAAGAATAAAAAAGATCCAGGCATTTACCCATTGATAACTGACTTGAAGAAAGATGGCTTTAGTGATGTGGAAATCCATTAGACGATTTGAAAAATAGAATAGCAACCCACATATCACTAAGTTTATGGCATTCTAAAGACTAAATTCTAATAAAATAAAATATATTATTCAACATTTTTTGAACCATGAACTTTTTTCTTCAAGAAGAAATGCCAAATTTTACTTCTGTTTAACTCTACAAGCATTTGCTGTATAGTCAATATGTTGTAGTTTGTGCTCTATAAGGACACAAAGGATTTACAGGTGAATAAGACTATGCTACTCTCATTAAAACAGTGTAAAAGGTGATTCCAAAGTGTTATATTACTCATTAAGGACATTGAAAGGGAGAGAAAAAGAAAGTTACTAAAGTTATTCAATGGGATCATGGAGGTTTCCCAGAAGAAGTAACATCTAAAATAACCTTTAAAGCAAGGAGCTTGCTATGAGGAAGCATGGGAAGTATGTTGCAGATGGAGTATAGAATGCAAAGACTTCCCTTGATCTTAACCAAAACACCAAGAAAGACTTGGAAGTACATACCTAGAACTTGTAATTATTCTGTTACTTGAACAAAGAAACAGAGTTATGAGAGGGAGGGAAAAAAAGTGAGTGACTCTTCCAGAGGTGAAGAGTTTTATTGCCATCATGTTATTGGTTGGCTTACAATGCCTGAAACATCAGCCTTGGGAGAGTCAATGCCCTCTTCTGGCTTGGATATTTTCCTTGCACATCTGGCATTCTCTGTCTTCCCTTCCCCCTCTCTTTCTCACACAAACACACTTATATACTTTTTCTGTCTGTCTTTCTCTCTGTCTGTATGCCTCTCTCTCTCTCTATCTCACACACACATGCACACACACATACACACACACACACACACACATACACACACACACACACACACACACAGAGAAAGTGAAAATAAGAATATTTTAGAAAAGAATTACTCCTAGAGGTTTTTACTGGTTGTGTAGAAGAAGCAGCTTAACAATTACTGCTAAGCAGGGACTGTTCAGGTATTGCACTTCATGTTCTATGGTCAGAGCATAAGGTTCTTGTTAAAGATACAGTGATACTTGCATACTGAGCCAAGGACTTTGGGGTTTAACTATAGGTGTCAGGTGTCTCTGGTATCAAAACCAGAGACTCATCTGACCAGGTCTACAGTGAAAGCATTCTGAGAGAGCTGTAGAACCTGATAGACATGACAAGCCTAGCAAAAGAAATGCTAGTTAGGAGAATGTTGAAACAAAAGATGAGGAGAGTCCAAAAGGAGCAGTAGAATTAAGGAAAGAGTGTACTGGAAAAGGAGTCAAGGAAGAAAGCAGATACTGACCTAGCACTAAGTAAACACCATCTGTAGGGAAGGACTGAAAGACAAAGATAATTCTCAGATGTCTCACCAGACTACTTAGAGGATAGATTGAAAGCACCATGGCCTATGGCAATAGATTTGTAACAACTCTTGCAGTATCTGTCGCACTAAGGCCAACTAAAATCAAAGCCCATTTTAGCGAAGTAAAGTGAAAGAAGAGAGAAAGAAGGAAAATACAACAAAACCACTATGAAACTGTCAAACAATGAAGACAAAATGAAAGAATTATTCCCAGGACAGGGGTATGGCTCAGTTGGTAGAGTGCTAACCTGGCATTAATGAAGCTGTGCATTCTGTGCCCAAAACAACACTAATAGGGTCTAGATGTGCACATTTGTCATCTTAGCACACAGGAGATGGACACAAGAGGATCAGAAGTTCAAGCTTATCCTTGGTCAACCAAACACCCCCAGACAAACCCCTGCAGTGCTAAATCCCAAATGCAATATATAAGTCATAATTGAAAGACTTAGAAGATTAATTTTTTCCTGACTCTATGTTGTCAGTTTTTAGATTTTAGTTAGCTTCTTCACTAGGCCAGGGAACAAATAGTCATCAAAATTAGTGGAATATATATATATATATATATATATATATATATATTTTGTATAATATATAATATAGTATATATACCATATAATATATAATATTACAATATTATATATTATAATATATAATATAATACTATATATTATATATGCTGTATAATATATAATATAATATTATATATTATAATACTATATATTATATAGTATATATATACTATATACGCTATATACAGTATATAATATAGTATATTGTATAGTATATAGTATACATATTATATAGTATATATAGTCTCTCTATATATACAATTGTGTGTGTGTGTGTGTGTATATATATATATATATCTATACATATATACTGTATTTGAATATGCATTTTCTTATTTTCATTCACTTCCTTTTTCAGTGGCAATCACTGCCCTGGGCACCAAAAGTAAACATATGAAAACACAGATTTTCTGAGTCCAATAATAAATAAAAGTATGTTAGTTTTATTACAGTGATCCTAGAAGACTTTGGAAAGTCTGATGTGCTGAAGATATATTTAGGTGGTAATTAGGAAGTCAGAACTTAGATAGGAAGGGGAATAGAAAAGCAGAAAAGCATATGGTTAGAGTTAGTTACTGTATGGTGATAGTACTCCTAAGACCTAAAGCAGGGGGGAAGGAGACAGGGGAAGGATACTTGCAACTTAGCCTGGTTAGGTAAAACGCCAAATGGGGTTGGATCATGAATGGCCTTCTGTGTTCAACTAAGTAATCTGGTGTGGTTCTGTAGCAAGGAGGAACTTTTGCAAGATTATTTAGGAACAGATAATAGCGACTGATAATACAGCAAAGATCTTCTATGTTCCTGCAGACCTACCATTTGGAGTTTCGAGGTATCAACTACAATCTTGGAAGATAATAGCTTCGAAACCCCACCCAAATCTTGCTCATGAATATCATAAAGACAAGAAAGTGTGCCTCTCCCTTAGTGAAGCCTGTTTTCATTTCAGAGACCTGCTTTTTTTGCTATGAATCTTCATGCTTTAGCCTATATTAAAATAGCATCACTATGACCCAACTCTGTTTTCAAACAACAAAAAAAGTAACTGGTAATATGTATGTTGTTTCTTTGTGGAATGTTTAATTATTTTTTTGCAAGTGTCGTGTCGATGTGTGTGTTCACACAAGTATGAATACACATGTCTGTGCAGGTGCTCATGTGTGCAGGTGCATGTGAAGGCTCTAGGTTGACATAGGGAATTATACTTGGTCACTCTTCACCTTATCGAGCAAGGCATGGTCTCTCAGCTAACCAAGAACTCCTTGATATAAGCTAGCTTCTTCCTTCAGAATTCCATCTCTGCCTTCTAAGCAATGGAATTACAGGTGGACCGTAACGTCCAACTGACAGTTTATGTGTGTTCTTGAGGGCATGACCTTATGCTTTTGAGAGCAATAAATACTGAGCCATCTCTCTAGTCCCAAGAATGACTAATTTATTTCATAGATAGATAGATAGATAGATAGATAGATAGATAGATAGATAGATAGATAGGAGTGTGTGATACACAAGTCTGAAGTATGTTATTTAAAATCAAACATTGAAGGGAAAGAGTAATGACTCACTTGCTGAACTGGTGGTTGCACCTGAGTTCAGCTCTCCAGCACACACCTTATATTAAGGGTGGGTTGGTGCATGCATGCAACCTTAGGGAGGTAGAAACGAGATAATCTATGTGACATGCTGGCCTGCTAGTCTTTCCAAGTTAGTGTGCTTCAGGTTCAGTGAGGAGAAACCCTATGTCAGAGAATTAGGTGCAGGGCCATAGAGGAAGACACCAATTGTGAACCTGTAGCCTCTGCACATGCACACACATGTACATACAGATGCATGGACTACACACAAAAGATATTGAACTATATACTTTAAATGGGTGAATTTTATGATATTTAAATCTCAAATCAGTAAAGCTGGTCAGGTGCTCTGAGCACTAGTAGAATCCTAAGTAAGAGGATGTATACTTTTTGAAAGTATAACTCTTGATTTATGACCAAACTTACTCCTTAGACTCATTCTTATTTACCATTGAGTTAGCATAGAGCTAGTGAACAGTAAACACTAGATAAGTATGCATCCTGTGGAATTAAATCTAGTGCATTCCTTTAATCCAATTCAGAAAAATTATCTTATTAAATCATGGGCACAATTTTTAAGTATTTTAATCTCTTAATCTATAATAGTTATTTTACAAGGACTTTTAATTTTTATAAATGCTGGTTTGTGGTCAGTCCATTTTTTCTTTCCCAGATATCAGCAGTTTTTAATATAAGTAGTATGTATGGATTATTGTGATCACTTTAATATATTTCACTGCATTTTTAAACAAATTAAGCATATTTTCCATATAAAATGTGAAAGTTACTGACTTTGATGTAAAAATTTTATCATTAAAGGAAATCAATCAATTTCAATCATTCTCTCTCCCTCCATCCACCTTTCCTCCCCTGCCCCCACTCTCTTTCAGGAAGCATTGTGAGCGTTGGGGACCCAAAGAAAAAATATACAAGATTTGAAAAAATTGGTCAAGGGTAAGTGATTTTATTTAAATTACCAAGATGCACTCCAACAATGTACATATGTTAAAATTCACTAACAGCTCAGATATAATATCAATTCATACCTCCTCTTTTCTGTATTATACTTATGATTTATATAATCAATATTAACTTTCCCTGCTGGTAGGTTTTTTGGTAACTAACATAGAAACACATGATACTGGAGTCTTCACTATCATTGAACTGATAACTTTGCCGGGACATTTTGATAGCTATGCCATTTGTATATTCACACTGATTTACCTAGAAAAGCAGAAGAATTAGAGAAAAGCTCTAATTGCATTGCCTCCTCACATTCAAATGCACCTGTGGATTAGATCCTGCTTTGTCAAACTGAACAGTACAGAATGAGAATGAGGAAGGCCTTACTAAATAACCTAGAGTTGTTAAATTAACTACCTGAGTAGTGTCAATATAAACCAATAGTCCTAACATGATACCAGGTCCATCACTTTCCCGTACTGGTTAACAGCACAGATTTCCAAACACAACTCACCAGATATTTGAATCAGACTTCAGGAATGGTAATCTTATAAAAAGTCCTCGGATAATCCTGATCATCAGCTAGACATGTGAACCAATATTGAATCATTTGCTAAAGCTAGAGGTAGGAGCCACCTCTTCTTCAACTTAACTGGATGTATCTCACATCTCAGTGTATTACTAAGCCAGACTCCCTGGGGATGCAATAATGTTTAATGAAAGATGTACTTTCTCAAGTCCATATATAAACTTTAACTGACTTTTTTTTGTGAACAAGTAGAATATCCCACAAGACAAGTTGCAAAAAGACAATATATATTGCAGCAATACAGAAAAGTTGGCTTTTAGATTTTATTTTAATGTTGTTTGGTTAAAAAAGGGGTGCTGAGGTCTACAGAAATGGTTCTATGGTATATCGTGCACACAGAGGACAGAGTTCAGTTCTCAGCATCCATGTCAGGTATCTCACAATCACGAATAGTTGAAGCTTAAAAGGATCCACTGCCCTTTCTGGCCTCCACAGGCACCTGCACTTGTGTACACAAACACACACACACACACACCTATACATAATTAAATTATTTATAATGGACAGATATACAATCTGGGAAAACAGCACCACAGATCTTCATTGTTCATTGTGGTAGCTACTTTGGGCTTAGCTTCATTTGGCTGTTGAACACTTGCAGTATTACTGGTCCAAACTGGAATGTGCCACAAGTATGAAATACACACTTAATTTCAAGTCCTTCATGTCAAATATACTATAAAATATCGTATAGACAGTGTGCATACTGACTGCTTATTGGGATAATATTCTGCTTGCATTTGTCTAAACCAGCAGTTTTCAACATGTGTGTTGTATTGGAGGTTGAACAATCCTTTCCCAGGGGTCGCATATCAGTTATCCTGAATAACAGATATTTACATTACAATTCACAACAGTAGCAAAATTATTGTTATTGGTCACCACAACATAAGGAACTGTATTAAAAGGTCACAGCATTAGGAAGTTTGAGAACCACTGGTATAAATGAAATAAATCATTATATCAGATTTATTTTTGGAAGAACTTTTTTTAATTTTAATTTTTGTTAATTACAGTTTACTCCCTTTGTATCCCACCTGTAGCTCCCTCCCTTTTCCCTTCCCAATCCCACCCTCCCTCCTTTTTCTTCACCCATGCTCCTCTCCCAGTCCACTGATAGGGGAGGTCCTCCTTCCCTTCCATCTGATCCTAGTATATCAAGTCTCAAACAGGAGTGGCTGCATTTCAAGAACTTTCAATGTAGCTCTAGATATTTAAAATATAGTTCACATTATAGTCTTTTTATGCTTTAATATTGATTTTTAACTGACACATAATAATTATACATATTTAAGGGCAGTGATGTGATGCTTTGATTCATGTATTTATGTAGTACTTATGTGGTTTGGTGAACGTGCTTGCCATGAAATCCTGATTACCCAAGCTAGATTGCAAGAATCCACAGTGGAAAGAGAGAATTGACTCCAAAACAATGTCCTCAACACATGAATTATGACATGTGCATGTGTGCTCACGCATGTGTACACACAGACACCACCATGCACACATATTATAACAATAAAATAGAATTTAAAAATATACTACATAATGTTCAAATCTGCAAGTTTTTACTTTATTCTATTGAGTCTTTGCAAAGAACAGAATCTCATTATTGCTAGTTTTCATTTTGTATACAATTCACAATGTATTTCCAATGAAAAACATCTTCTAAATTAGAGTTTCAGTAAATCACTTTGTTACATAACTGTGTTCTGAGAAGTGAGGATGGGAGATGTGATGTTATTTGTTCCCATTAATATGCAGCTGAACAAAAACAACATTGAATTAAAAAAATCAAACAAAAATACTTAAGAGATGCTTTCAAATAATCGAGCCAAATTAATAGCTTCAAGAACAAAGATCAGACCACTAATGAGTGACTTTGCTCACCAAAAAGATTTCCTCTTGTGATTGCTAATCATAACTAGACTTCAAAAGATACAAAAGGAAAGTTATATATGGATACTCTTTTTAAAGTATTTATCATCTAAAAAGAAGCAGGGGAAGGCAAGACATGGTGTCACATCTCTCATCTCCACACTCAGGAGGTGAAGGCAGAACAATTAGGTGTTCGAAGTGATCCTCAGCCACAGAGCAAGCTTGACGCTAGCCTGTGCTGCATAAGACCCTCTCAAAAATAAGAAGATTAAGAAAAGGAAGATGGAAATAAAACCAAAAGAAGCATGCACAATATAAAATAAACAGTGTATGTCCTATTTGCTGAAACAAAAGCTTCTGTTTTACATTCCCAGAGAATACATGATTTTTAAAAACGATGAGGCCAGCTGAAAGTTCAGTCATAATAAATTATTAGATGTTAGGACATCTATTGTCTTTTTTAATTTGTCTCCTATACTGTCCAGCATACTGCTAAGCTTGGCATGGTGGCATATATTTTGTATTTAGTGGGTCCTCAGATTTTTTTGTACAGTTATGAATAAGCTGTACAAAACAGCCACACTCAAAAATTACTTGCAGAACTTCCCTTATTTGCTAGTCCCCTATCTCTGGAATGATTTTGCATCAGTAAATATTTGTTGGATGAGCAAAAGTGTTTGCCCATCTAGCTTTCTTTTATATCAATGTCTTTTGGCTTTTTAATCACTCATTTTTTCTCATTGCATTGTCAGCTCTTTTTCTTTCACAATGACTTGGTCTGACCCGGTCATACTGCTTTGTTGTTCCTCTGGTGTGTGCTGCACATCTATCTTTTTCATGTCTATTGGCTTCACATTTCACTGAAAATTTTCACATACACACAGAACATGAATAGTCATAATATAAAAACCAATGTTTAAAAAAAAAACTAAAATCAAAGCATACTTTTAAAATAGCTATTAAGAGCTTAAGTTTATTTATTGAGATTTAAAATTTTATTTTATCATATTTTCATCTAATCATTGTTTTGATTTTTTAATGGAATATCCCCCACTCTTAAGATTTTACGTGAATGAACAAAATACTTTCTCTAGATTTTAAAAAAAGAAACCACTTATAGTAACTGTGTTTTAACTTAAATGGTTTGTAACTGATTTTCTCATGAATTATTGCTCTGAGCTAGGCAATCTAGTATCTACTTTTAAGACACAGTGGTTTTCTTTTCTTTTCATTAAGTCTTGATTTTTATTGTTTTGCTTTACCTGTTGTTATAGTAACTTTCAAAATCATGTCATTAATCATTAAGTGCTAGCAACAATCAAACCCATTATTCCATTCTCAGCTCCAGAGACCACAAGACCCTACTCTTCAGAGCTGAATTTAAGAAAACCCTTTTCATTAATTACCCTCATCCACTTGGAAAACTACATTTTTTTCCCTGTATGGGATTCCACCATCCCAACATACAGGCCTAGTTCGTAAAATTAGCTTCCATCAACCATAAATCAAACTCAGAGTTTCCTGTATAATTGTTGCAAGCCATAACTGTGAGGCTAAGCCTTAAAAATGACAGAATTTTACTAAGTTTTCTGTGAATGTTCTATCGTCGGCTGCCAAATCTAGACATTTCGATCCAGTGTGTAAAGGGAGAAGAAAGCAGAAAGAGAGAAGGAGCCAAGAAGGGGAAAGAGAGAAAGCCAGATACCCCTATATTCTCGTTAACTGGAGAACAATGGCAAGGTGGAATAAGAAAGTTTTTTTTTTTTTCATTCTATAAGAGTTCTATAAAAGAACATAGATGATAAATGGAGTCCGGTGAGACAACTGAAGCACACGTTTCTCTTCCATCAATGGCTATCCCTGGAAGTTTGTGTAATTCCTAAATAAGCAGTAGCAGTGTGGCAAAGGGTGGAGCTTATTAAGGCTGGCAGCTGCCTTGCAGATGTCTCACTAATACGTTTGAATTCATTTCAAGGTTGTTTTTTTTTCTCAAATGAGAATGACCTGATAATTAGATCACCTTTCCTTTCAAACCCAAAGTGTCTTTTCTCAACAATATTAGTAAATTAGTTTGTCTTGTAAAGAAGCATCACATATATAAACTGATTTACATCCAGTTTAACAAATGTTTATATTTAGTAAACTATGGTTGAGTGAAAACTATGTTTAACATAGAGCTATAATTGAGAACCAGGTTCTGGGCCGGATGTAGTACCTTTAATTTCAATGGTCAGGATTCAAAGGCGGGGAATCTCTGAGTTTTAGGATAGCCTAGTCTACATTGTGAGCTATAGGCAGGACTACACAGAGAGACCCTGTCTCAACCCCACCCCAATAAAAAGAACCAAGTTTTGGTAGCCACAGTGAGCTTTATATTTAACAACTCCTGAATATCTAGCAAAAAAAAAAAAAAAATGGATGAGACGCTAGCTTTCACTTACTTAGTAAGCTGAAAATCTAGGTTCCATTCACAGTAGGAGAAAACAGAGAGGGGAAAAGGCAGAGCAAATTCACCTCCCACTGA